AGCCAGAACAAGTACAGTGATAAATGTCAATGCCCTGACAATGTGTATGTAGATACTGCAATTTTTTGTGATTTATTCAAACTGTTCTTTTTGTAGTATTGACTGATTAGAGAAAATAACACATTTATTGCTCCTCGAATTTACATATGATAAAAATCATATTTACAGGTGTTTTACCAAGGTAATTATACCCATTAGAACATATATCCCCTTTATTGAGAAGGCATATTTAGCAGGAATATTAAATCTATACTAACTTGTGATTTCAGTGTGATGAAGATGCAGCAAATCTGCCGAATTTACATTTGGCGGAACATGTTTCCTCCACCACCAGGCCGCTGTAACACGTGCTGCCGAATTCCAGCTAGCCTGCAACTGATGGAGGCTCGCTATATAAGGGCTGAATGTTCCACTGGCCATACCCAATAGGTGGTTGAGATGGCCCTTAATGTGGCGGACCCGCCGCATGAGTAGTGCTCCGGGTTAGCGTTCAGGGGCCGGTTTGGGATTGGGCCACAGACTATCAGGCTTACCCTACCAGACAAACAGCTTGTGCAGTTTTTATATTATGTGCATTTAGTGTTTTAAGATTTCTCTCCAAATGTTAAAATGAAATTTGCAGATAAACGTCTCTCAGGCCCTGATCCCCCAGACACAGGACAAGGGCCGAAACCCAAGCCCCACAAGAGCGCCACCAAACTGCCCCAGCAGAGCCCTCACCCCCCAAGTATCTGAGAGAGCCAGGCACCCTGGACAGCCTCATGCACCACTGACCAGCTCAGTGCCCCGGGAGCCATGGCATGTCACAAGTTGGCGCAGCAGATGGGGGAAGCTGGGGCGGCGAATCAGAACTAGACCCAATCATAGCCCCAATCCCTCTAATCAGACACACACATAAAATATAACAAAACAAAGAAAGAAAAGGGACAGAAAAAAAAAAAAAAACTTTGTGACCAAAAAGCTAAATCTCCTTTTCTCATTTGTCCATGTTAGCACTGGCAAAACATTTATCTTATTTTGTAGGTTTTGGTTCTGCAACATGACCTATCAGCCGTTACATAATGCTGACTTCTTAGTGGATCTAAACACTGGTGTTCTAGTAGTCTACTGGTGAAAACAAGCTATCACTTGGTGGGTTTTAGGTTAGTTTCTTCACCAAACCACTGATTTCCATCTATCTGAGTCTGACAGATCAGATCAGAAGTTTGAAATATTGATATATTTTCATGTTCCAGCGGGACAATTACACCACAAGCACATCAGCTGCAGTAAACACTGAGCTTCTCCAAAGGCCTCTGAAAAGCTCTGAGCTGGGAACATGTGTCGACTAGCATTAATTGCTGTATCCTGCTGGGATGCCAAGCATTTTCAATAAGCTCTTCTATTTCTCAAGAAAAGAGTTGTCAAATATTCCATGAGGTTTGCTCTAAGAGCTCATTGATAGCTTATAAAACTTATGACCAAATATAATCTGCTAAGGGACATTAAAAACATTATCAGTGTTCTGGGTTCTGTAAATATAACTTTCTTCTTATGATGATTAGAGAGCTGCTCAGGGCTGCTCAGTGAAACAGTGGGTAGCACTGCTACCATGCAGCAAGAAGGTTCTGGGTTCAATTCCTGGCCTGGGTTTCCTTTTGCATTGAGTTTGCATTTTCTCCCTGAGCATGTGTGGGTTCTCTCTGGGTACTCCGGTGTCCTCCCACAGTCCAAAGAACTGACTGTTAAATTTAATAGGCTTCTCTAAATTCTCCTTAGTTGTGAGTGTGTGCAGGAATGGTTGTTTGTCCTGTTGGTCTTTGTGTTGCCCTGCGATGGACTGGCGACCTCACAAAGGTGTACCCCGCCTCTGGCCCGTAGACAGCTGCACCAGCACCCCTCATGACCCAGCTTGGGATAAGTGTGATAGAAAATGGATGGATGATTAGAGAGAATATTTATTTATTTTTTTAAGTAAGCCCATTTCTGTTTTTATAAGGGCATTGAATATATGTATTGAATCACTAGTCAACTATTTAAAAGGAGTGGTTGAAATATGTATATGAAGTCTTCTACTGCTTGCCATCCAGGATAACTGCTGCTACCCATCTCTAGCAGTCTATAGGTGAAAGGCAGGCTGCACCCTGAACAAGTCGCCAGTCTTTGCAGGGCTATAAAGCAAAAGTAGCAAGCACACCAAAAGGGAACTGTAGGGACCAATTCACGACATAGTAATGATTCTGGACTGTGGGAGGAAGCTGTAGTACACAGAGAGAACATGCAAATACCCCAAGGTCAGTAATTGAACCAAGGACCTTCTTGCTATAACAGTGTTAAAAATAATACCACCATTCAGTCCCTCTTAAATTAGAATAATTTATTAAAATCAATTATGAATGTATGCTAACGTTTTACCCAAACAGTATTTCAGAATGTGTACCTTTGTTTTTAAAACTGATTAAACGTATTCAAGGTATCCGGAACATTCACTTTTAGGAAACTCCAACTTCTAACTTTCATTGTTAACTTCTTTAACTTTTTTTAACTGCTGCAGTTCAGCTGCTGTGGCGCTGAATCTTACACTGACTGGTTCAGCAGTGAGGGCTGGAAAAACCATGATGCAGTGCCAGATTCCTGCTGCCCGGAGAAGACAGAAGGCTGTGGACAAGACAAGGAAAAAGTGTTCAAAAAGGTCTGCTCTGCTGAGATATTTCAGCTTAGGAGCCTAACCCCATGTCTTAGGACAAAAATTCAGCTTTTTGTCTTTTTCTTCAGGGATGCATCTCAGCTATAAAGTTTTTTCTGTTAAAGAATCTGGTATGGGTTGGCGGTGTCTGCATCGCTCTTGGAATCACTGAGGTGAACTACTTAAGAAACCAACCTTAGATTATGTTTGAACATATTCATCATAAACTAAAATATCAATCTAATTATTATTATTATGAGTAACCTTTTTATTGACTGCATCTAACGCTTAACTGCTTTAATCGTTGCAGGTGTTTGGAGTGTTAGTTGGCATGTGCCTGTGTCTCAAGATTAAAAGCAAGAATTATCAAAACATCGACTGATTCATCACAGCAGCCATCTTAAGACAGCTACTAAGACACTAATAAAATGTTTGAACATCATTTTGCCTTTCTTTCAAAATCCATGACTAATTATATTCCTAAAAATTATTTTGTACAATATGTGACAAACCTGCTGTATTTGAATGATCATGGTATCTGTGTGCACATTGCTCTTATAACAAAGGACAGTTTGGACTGCAATTATTGCTACATTAATCTTATATTATTTAAATCCTTTTATAATTTGTATATTATTAGTGTTGTCAACTTGCATTTTACATGCAAATTATTCTATTTAACCGGTTTGACTGAGTCTAATGGCAACAGATGCTCACATCAGACAAAACGATGGTGTTTCAAAGATCTCAAAAGAAGAATAGGGGTGTATTACAACTGACACCATCATCATCATCATAATAATTGGTCATATTGCCCTTTGGAGATTTTCTAAAAGCTGGCAGACTTATTTAAACCTCCCATACCTCTAACCCTTTAAGATAAGTCCACAAAAACTCCAAAAAGACAACATTTGGATCATATTTAAATATTAATCACAAAATTCCCAGTGGTCAAATATGGTGGTGGCACCATCATCATCAACTGGGAAGCTGGATATCTATCTGAGTGGGGCACAGATAAAAATATCAAGGTACATATTTGCAATCTTGGAGTTGTGATTAAAAGTCAACCCCAAACTGCATTGCTAATGCCTAATGAGCAAGTTTGGAGCTCTTATATTACTTAGATATAAGTTGCTTTTAAAAACAGAGCTAAAATCATTTTATACAGGTCAAAGGTCGACTCACTCCGAATCAACCCATTAATACTATAAATTAGGATACCTAATTAGCAAAGTTGTAATAAATTTTGGAAGTATAGAAGATGGTTAAACATAAGATAATATTGGAAGAAAAACTGCTTGTCTTTGAAAAACCTGAAAGTGGGCCAAATATTCTCTTTCAGTAAGAAAATTACCCCAAAAAAAAGTGGCAATGGAAAGTCTTGGATCAAAAATGTATGCTCCAAACAGTGAGGAGCAGGCTATAGAAGAGGATTAGAGCCGCTGAAAAAAAAAAAAAAAAAGTTAACCGATTTTTTAATTTTATTTCAGTTTAATATGGGGAAAAAAGTCAGAATCCTGAGGTTAAAGTCAGATATTCTAAGAAAAAAGTCAGCATTCTGAGAAAAAGTCAGAAATCTGTTAAATAAAAATAGTCAGCATTCTGAAATAAAATGTGCAGCTATAACTATGGTAAAAAGTGTCTAAATGTAAGGCATTATGGCACACATTCAAAATGTGAAGCTAACAAAGTACTCAACAATTGATTGGAAAAAGGGAACTATTTGTGTCTTAATTCTTAGAACGACTTCTTAATTTTGAAGTAAATAAACACACTGCTAGCAGTCTGGTCTGGTGAAATCAAGGAAAAATGCCCTGTTCCTTTTTTAAGGAGCGTTTCCGTCGTGAACTACACTTCCCAGAATCCTCTGCGAACGTTCTCCTGCTAAAAGTCTCCGCCTAAACGTTAACAGGAACACGGAGAGCAGCGTGGTTGTTACAGAAAGTCGGAGATTTGTTCGAAAATTGAACTTTAATTGGAGCATAAAGATATAAGGTTAGGTAAACGCACATTTACAGAAGTTGAAGTTACAACCGTTGCTATGGGACTTAAATACATCTTATTCATTCTTTATTTTAAGCTAGCTGGACGCTTTAGCGGTTCTGGAAAAGGAATGCATTGATATATTAGAGTTTTTCTGGTTAAGCTTGCTTTTTTAAAGAAAATAGCATGAATTTTTTGTTGGATATATTATCTTTATTTTAAATCGATGAATACAGTGGATAATATGTGTACTGTTTGTTTTTAAGATACATTGTGATTGTACTCAAATGCGTGTCAGGTGTTTTATTGTATGTTTTTTTTTTTTTTTTTATCTTCAGTCAGCAGGAGCATGTCAGATGCTTTAATCGAGAAGATTAAGGAGCTAGAAGATGAGCTTGAGAAGCTCAGGTCCCAGCTGGGGCAAACCACCAGAGCTGGAGAGGATTTGGGAATGATGTCCTGTTCACCTCTCAGTGAAAGCCCAGACTGCACCATGTCTGACAGGAGCAGCAGGAAGAGGTCAGGAAAGCAGCGCCCCTTTGACTTCAGCTCCCATCCCCGGCGCCATGTGGCCCTGAAGCTGGCTTACCTGGGCTGGTCCTACCAGGGCTTTGCTGTTCAGGAGAACACAGACAACACAGTGGAAGCCAGGCTGTTTGAAGCGCTGCTGAAGACACGGCTGATCCAGGACAGACAGAGCTCCAACTATCATCGCTGTGGACGAACTGATAAAGGAGTCAGTGCTTTTTCTCAGGTGAATTTAATAAAATCAGTCCTTCAATGCCTTCCTAAATAACTGTAATACAAAATCCATTCTGACCCGCTTTCTGGTTCTTCGCAGAAGTAAGGTATTCCCACAGCATCATGCCACCATCACCGTGCTTCAAGGATGGCAGGCTGTGCTAAGCACTTTTTTATTTTCTACCACACAAAATAGTTTTTTTTTTACAAAGGCTTTGCAGTAATGTTTTGGTCTCATCTGACCGTAGCACCTTTGAAAGATACCTTTGCAGTCATCTATGTGGCTTCTTTCACATAGATGACAGCAAACTTCTGGTGTTTTTCTATAGAAGTTAGATTATTATATTGGAAAGTTAAAGTCAGCTGTTATTTCTTAGGTTTTTGTTGTTTTGCTCTATGCTTCTGCCGTTTTCTAATTTTATTTTGGAGTGTCAGAGTAAATAATTAAAAAAAATAAATGTCCAACCTGTTTTAGAAATCCAAAAAAAAAAGTTCCTTAATCCCTATTATGCGTTCTGTCTGTCTCAGATTAAGACTGAAGTAATAAACTGAACAAATTCACCTATATGATCATATTCATTTTTTCCCAGGTTATAACCATTGACCTGCGATCCACCCAGTTTTGCGGAGGACTCGGTGTCAGTCTCCCTGAGAGTCTCGATCTCACTGCCAAATCCAAGGAATCGACCTCTGAGCTTCCATATGTGAAAATGTTGAACAGAGTTCTGCCACAGGACATACAGATCTTTGACTGGGCCCCCACAGAGCAAGGTTTCAGTGCGCGCTTCGACTGCCAGTCCCGCACGTACCGGTACTACTTTCCCCGAGGGTTCTTAGATGTAGAGCTGATGGCAAACGCTGCAAAAAAGTGAGTGTGAAATTAAACTGAGATAAATATTTGTGATTTTTGTTGGATAAATATTTAATGGTGCACATCAGATATGAGGGGACTCATGACTTTCGCAACCTGTGCAAGATGGATGTGGGAAACGGTGTCCTGCAGTTTGAGAGGACCATCCTGTCAGCATCAGTCAGGCCTGCACACCCCCGGGTGGTTTCCAGTACAGATCAGCATGAGGTGTTTGTGTTTGAGGTCAAAGGTTTAGCCTTCCTCTACCATCAGGTAATAACAGCTTAACACACTCATTGCTGTCATTAAACACCTGTGTAACCTATCCTAATCTGCTGTTAACTACATATGTCTTGCTGCAGGTACGTTGTATGATGGCAGTGCTGCTTTTGATTGGACAGAAGCTGGAGGCTCCAGAGATCATTGATGAACTCCTGGATGTTAAGAATAACCCCAGAAAGCCTCAGTACAGGTGATGAAACAGCAGCCTGTTGGTGCTAAGGCTGCTTTTAATGGACAACAGAAGAATTTTGCTTTCAGGTCTTTGCATTGATCTTTGTATCTTAAAAAAAAAGGTTCTGTGGCTCTTAGTTTTGGACCTGGAAAGGATATCAGTCAGCTGACATATTTGGCACTTATTGTTGTTGTTTTTTTTTTTCTTCTGACATCTGCGGATCCATGCATATGTTTGCAGATACATTAGTGTATCTCATGCATTGTCTGAGATACATTGCATTGGTACAGATACATTTTATTTTATGTTTCTTGTTTAAATTGAGACTGGTATAACATTTTTATCATGGTAATGGAGGAGGAGAAAGCAATATCAGGTGAATAATTCAGCCCAAAGAAACTGGCAGCTCATATGGAGGATCGTTTGTCCTGATATACGAAACAGTATCTTCTAAAAAAAACCTTATCGGTCGATCTCTATGTCAAAGCCAACCTAATGCTGTTTTTGGTACAGGTTAAAGCACTGGTTGGATTCGTTATTGAATAGGAGCTGCAAGGGTAAACCACGGTTGGACTTGTTAGCAATACAAGCTCATAATGTTTTGGTTGTCGTTCTTTTTCGCATTTTCTACTTTGAAAAACTAAAGCAACAAGTTCAGTAAAGGAAGATGTGTATTTTGTGTGTGAAACAAGTATGTCAGTCATTTAAATAGATATTTTAGTTGAGGTCTGCTAAGTCCACTGATCTGTATTTATTCACTGGATAGCTGATTGGCCGTTGGTAGTACATGGTGCTGTGATGTCACCAGCCGCGATATTGGTACTTCGTAGTTAGACCAGTTGGAATGTAAACAATATATGCGCTGAAGCATTGAACAAAGAGGATTTTCTCATTTTCAGGGGGGCTTCAGTCTTTTACAACAAAGATAAGCTCATCACTTTGAAACACACTTACTGTTTCATAGCATAAATAGATTACTGTCATTTAAGGTAAAAAAAAATAGGGACATCACATTGCATATTCAGTATAAAGTCCATGAAGTCTATAAATGATGTAGTATAACATGTACAAATCCATCTGGACAAAATGAACGTGTCAATGGAGCATAATAATACTAATATAGATATTAAGATATAGATATTAGGAATATTACACACACACTATCTGATGATGTGCCAGAAGTGCTAAATTGACAATGTACTTCTCATATAAATGTATTGATTACATTACAGGCATTTTTATGGCACAACTCTTTGAAAGTGGGGAGTACCAAGATGGTGGCAGGTGACATCAGTTTTTCCAGCCTATCAGCAATCCAGCGAATAAATAGAGCTCAGTGGCTAAGTCTTACAAGCATGGCTGCCATATTTTGGGGTCAAAGTTGGTGGGAAACTTCCTCTTCTGAGGAACTTTCCAGATTTCAAGCTTTTGCATGCGTATTGTAACTATGTGGATTACAATATGCATGGCATTTGCTTTCACATGCATTATGCACTATGGAGACTATAACAAAGGGATGTAGATTGTTTTATAAATGGTTGAACATCAAGTGAAATGTTTTTTTTTTGTTTTTTTTAATGGCTACTTAAAAGGGAACACCGTTTTTTGTTTTTGTTTTACATTGGGCCCTTTATTTTACGATATTACATCATGTTCTACTCACCCATATGTTCCGAGGATATTCAGTTTTGTTATATCAAAGTAACGTCTTCCCATGACCAACGAGTTGAAGGCATTAACTAAACCGTTCATAATTTATCATTTATGGTGCGCCAGCATTCATAACATGTAGGCGAATCACTGTCCCCCAGACATCCGCGGTTATATTTTTTATATTTATATATTTTTTAAACAAAGCGGAGTGGGTATGATGTCATCTATGCTTGCTAACATAACTAACAAATGGTATAAAATGTATTGTATTAACATTAAATATTACATTAAATATGTATTATTCGTGAATAAACCAGGTAATTTCTAAGTCAAAGGCCAAAAGGCAGTAGATTCTTTTAAATCAAACTTGTATGGGTAAAATATTAAATGATAAAACCCCTCTAGGGTAAATTTATATTTTTTCTTCTGCTAAAAAAATATAGAATTGATTGAAAGATTAAGAGAAATTCTGTAGCTTCCTATTGATTACTTTTTAGATTGAGCCCCTAAAGCAGAGCCTCAAAATCCAGCCCATTAAAAAAAGTTTGCTGAGCTGGTTGAGGGCAATAGCAGGTAAGTTGTTAAAGTTTGCTTTCTCTGGTTTGCAGCATGGCAGTGGACTATCCTCTGGTGCTGTACGACTGCCACTTTGAAGGTTTAAGCTGGCAGCAGGAGACTGAGGAGGTTAATCACGTTCTGTCGTCACTGCAGCGACACTGGACGCAGAGTGCAGTCAAAGCCCACCTTCTGCTCGGGATGATCCAGGGTTTGGAGGAGAGAGGTGAGAATTTGTAGCTTTCAAAATGGCCAAATATGAAAAAAAAAATGTTTAGACTGATGGGGCTTGATGTACCAAAATGCAGCGTAAAGAGGAAAAAAAAACTTTTAATAGACTAGCTTCCAGCATAAGAACATGCAGCTAACACATAATGAGATGGTTTAGATTAAAATATATGGGAAAGACCCAGTCAAACTAAATCTTATTAAGACTGAGGGCTTTTTTTTCTTTTTGTAAAGGGGAAGAATTGAAATATTGGCAGAGACATGTAGCAAATTTGGTGCTATAAAGCATTTTGTTTTGTTGTGAAATGAGAATATAATGTTTCAAGAAGCCTGAATACTCATGCAAGCCCCTTTTAACACAACCAGCTTTAACAATTTAAGAGAAAAAAAACACTGGAAAAAAATGAAATGGTTTTTGAGTCATGCAAATTAGGTTGTTGCTCTCAAATCCACAGGTGGTGTTTCTTCCGACCATTGCTGGCTGCTGGAAGGCAGCAGGCAGAAAAATTACCGGCCGTTGATGCAGCGTCCATGCTGCGAGAGCCTGGAGTCCAGGATAAACCACTTTGTTAAAAGAGGAAGGCTGGAGCGAGAGGAGGGGGAGAACGGAGATGAAACGATTTACAGAGGGAAGAAATCCAAAAATTCCTACGATGCGCGCCCTCCATCTGTTTCCTCTGAGATCCCAAAACAAAGCTTCGATCAGAAAGAGGAGGATTAATTTCTGTTTTGGACCATAACTGACTTGGAGGATTTTGATTTTGTTGCTTTTAAGAAGACAAAAAAAGTAAAAGGATTTAATTTAAGGAAAAATATTTATTTTTTTCATTTATTTTAATACTTTTGTTTGTGAACTTTTTTTTTCTAATTAAGCATACTGTTTAGATAAATATTCTCAGTTTTCTCCAGATTTACGAGTAGCAGTATGCAACTCAGTGTTTCTTTTTATTTTATTCTAACAAATGAAATCAGCATTTGAAAGCTTTTTTGTCATTGTGTGTTTTTTATATATGAGATTATCTTTATCTCATAGAAAACTATATTTGATATTCCGGAAATCACTACAGATACACGATCTTTTTATAGCAGCCTACATCCTTATTTCATGCCAAGGGTATTTTTCAGGTGTTCAGCAGTTGAAAGGAACAGATCCTAAGCAAATTAGAAATAGTCGAAAGAGGATTAATCTGCGTAGTAATTGAAGTGTTATTCTAATTATGTAAAATTAATAAAAAAAAAATCAAATGGTAAGAAATGTAATGTTTTGGTTTTTTTTTATTGGATTATTTTACAATAGTCAGTATTCATCTTAATTTTTGTATTTCTATTTTAATCTGCAAGCCCTTCAAATTAAAATACAGAGAAGGTGTTTGACCAGCAGTCAGTTTTCTTTGCAGGATAACCAAACATACTGCTTATCTGCAGTGGCAGTTAAACAGTATTCAACATATAAAATACTGGAAAACAAAGATTTGTTTTAACACAATGAATTTAAGTTTTAACGAGAAACTGGTGTGCATTTAGAGAAACCCTTAAAAAATGAAGATTTAGATTACATTTCAATTTTAATTATAATATGGTGTGAGTCGGGTGCCTGTTTTGACATATTTGAAAGGGAAGGAATCTATAGGTCTATATGGGGCGGAACAAATGTTCATAGAAGAAGTTAGACCGGTGTCATGTAGAGGTTGGACCTGGACTAGCTAGGAGGCTAGTTTATTTTTAAATAGGGTGTTCATGGGAGTATAAAATCTGCGGTGTTCTGTCATAGAGCTATATCCAAACACCTTGCTTGTATTCAGCTCTGACTTTTATTTCTAAGATGACGGCGTCGTTTGGTCGAAAGTTTGTGGTCGTTTTGACCTGATGAAACACTTTTGCTAACGTTAGCCTGTTAGCATCCTGGCTGTTTTGAATGCTGTAGCACTGTGACCCCTCATCGGATTTCTACTTTACCTCAGCCGATTTAACGATTCTCTGACTAAAAGAAGGTAAACATAAATACATTTTGAAAAACTGTCTTTACGAAATTAGCTGTCGTTAAAGTTGCAGTCATTTTACTATAGTTTTAAGGTAGTAATTGAAGGAGTGGATGTTCTTAAATTTAGCTTCAAAAGAACGTTAAGATATAATCAAGCATTTAGACGAAATAAACTTTGTTTAAAAAATTTAGACCAGTGAAACCAGTTTGGTAACCAGTTTTGTAGACATGACATTAATTGTACTTAACATGTTGCTCTTTTCATCCCCAGCAGGGGGCGTATGAATAGAGACAAGAACACAGACACATGTAGGAATTGTTAAAAAAAATTTTATATATATTTTCCTTTATGATATAATTCTATTTTATTTTTTTTATTTACTCATGAAATTTCATCTTTATTTTAAGTTCCTAAGTTATTACGAGAATTCTTATTTTAAAAAGTTATAAATTTGGGAAATTGACAGGTTTATTGCTTTATTTTACAATTTTCATCATGTGTTATTATAAATCCTGTTAACCCGGATTTTTTTATACCTAATACTAATTATTTAGAATGATTCATAGATTTATCCAGGAATCACTGCTACTGTGCTTAATTAATATTCTGATTTACATTCCTGAAAGGCATTAAAATAACTTAAGTAAAACTGCTTTTTCTGCAAAAAGCTGCAAGACATGAAATAATATTCCAAAAGAAATTTGTCTGTGAAGTATTAGCGTTTACTTTTTCATACTTAGTTATGTTGAAATGTGTGTTGTTTGCTTCTTTTACTTCTTTACTACATAACATAAGCTTCTTTCACTTAGATTTGTTTGTCTTGAAAATATGTGTTTTTACATTAGATGTATAAACAACATGGCACAATTGAGTCAATTCAGTCATTGAATAGTCATTGAAAACTGCCTCTTGACTTGATAATTTTTCCTTGCCCTACTTTAGAAGACTTTAAGACATCTCTCCACAGCCCTTGGTAGATTAATATGTCTGATTACCATATAACATTTTTGAGGAAACTACCTAGGCAAACTCTGTCCTTGGGATTATTATTATTTTTTTTAATTGGTTGGATGTGTGATGGTTAGAAATTTGAAATCCTTCTTCGTCGTCTTCAGCTTTCTGTCAGATATTTACAAGACAATGCAATACAAGTATTCATAACTTTATCCACAATTTTAAAAAACTTCACTTGACACATGATTCAGCCACCATCATGTATCGCTGTGGTTTTGGTGTGATTTTCCTGTAACACAGTGTTGTTTTTCAGTTTCATCAGATCCTTGTACTTTCTCCTGCTTTAGGAAACTTTGTCAGAGCCTTTCTTTATTTGTACATAAATGTTCCAGTCTTCAAACCCTTTTCTCAGCCCACACATGTAGAGAATGCAGCACCGGAGTCTGACTTGCGGAATAGAATAAACACTTTCCAGAAACCTTTTCAGCTGCTTGTTGCCATCTGCTTTTTGGTAGCTGATTTCTAAAGGATTTCCTTCTTATTGGTTTGTAAAATCATTTCAATTTCTTTTTCATGTCACAGTGACATTAAGTGTCAGTGCTTTGCTTTTCTGTTATGACTACTGGTATGGTTAATCTTTTTTATTACTTTCACATCCAGCTTCTCCCTACAATCTAGCACTACTCTGTTAGATAATAATAGAAATTGCTTCAAGGTTACTGAACACATTTTCTACCACTAAACAGCCCACAGCATCACTACCAATTTAAGCCATGTCCAGCTCTGCCCAATCTTGTGCTGCGGACCTCTGATGCTACCACCACCACCTTTTGCTATGGAAATGGTGCCTTCAAGGTGGAATGAACGGTTAGGTTTCTGCCACATATGCGTTTCTGAATACAGGGCTTATGGCTATAACTATGGCTATAACACTTCTCAATTGGCCTTATGCAAAGCCTTCCAATTGTTGACTACTTTGTATTGGACTAACTAATTCAATTAAAATAAAGAGGTCTAAAGGCTGGGGTTGGAGAGGGAATAGAAAAACCAGAATTATAAAACCTTTTGGAAAACATTGATGGTAAGCTTTTAAGTTTAAGTTTACGACTGTCTGTGAACACTTACTGCAGCTGCTGCTCCTGCTGACAGCCTATGGAAGAGATGGGAGAAGCCTAGTGAAGGCTAACAGAAACAATTTCTGACTAATAAAAAGCCAATTTGAGACCAACTGCTCGCCGTCTTTATTTCTAGTCGGAAGCTCCATTTATTTTGCGTATCTATATTTTTCAAAAGTGATTTATCACCCCCCAAAAAATCCTCTTATGACCCCGGTTGGGGCCGGGACCCCAAGGCTAATTTACAGCACATTTCCACTGCTAGTCAACAGTGTGGACATTTCCTTTATTTGGAGACTTTTCCTTATTGTTTTCACTTTCTTCCATGTCGATGCATAGTGAAGACTCCAAACTATGGAGCAAAGGTTTATAGAGTTATTTAGCAAAAATCCAAAACTTGTGAAGTAACTTAAAAACAACTTTTGTATTTTTAGCTTCTTCACTTTTTATTTTGATTAATGCGCCGTGCTTTGTTGGTTTTTGAGACTCATGATTTAGTCACCTGAAGTGTTTTGGTTTTGGCTGAGGTGTAATAAAAAATTAAGACATAGGAAGTGTGTCTAAACTTCTGATTGGTGTATGTGTACCCTGATATACCTTTACTTTTATTCCTGGACGGGTGGAAGTCATCTGCAAACCTTTTAAAAGGTAATTTATTCTTTTAAACAGTTTGAAATTGATAACATCCAAAAGAGAAGGTCGGATTAGTGTTATTACTGAATTCATCTTTTTGTGTCTTCGCCTCAGGATGTTCCTGGTGGGACTTACTGGAGGGATCGCCTCGGGGAAAAGCACTGTGTCTTCAATGCTGCGGGAGCTCGGCTGCCCCATTATAGATGCGGATGTGGTGGCCAGGAAAGGTAGGGTCGGTATCTCTGCTCTGTAAACTAGCCCCGTATCCTCAGCATCTTCTAAAAGCGTCATCCTCTCAAAGATATCTTCAGGCTGCATCAAATAAAAAGGATTCATTAAGACAAATGCTTGGAGAGAGCGTTATGAATCATAAGGGATGTCGACGTTGACTTCAGGGATGACATCTTAGCAATGTAGCAAAGATTAAAAAGGTCGCTGGAGCGGGAGAGAAGGGTGGAGCTTTATGTAAGATAATAAAAATAGGGATTATGCAAAAGATATATTCACAGGCAAATTATGAATCTGTTCAATGTTTGATTAGAAGAAAGGAAATAGTTTACTCTGCTCCTGGTTTAAATACATTTAATTATTGTATTACTCTATTTAATGCAACAATATTTTAACTGTTTCAGTTGGTTGAGTCTGTAATGACATTACCAAAATGTTTTTTAATTTCTTTGTCAGTTGTGGAGCCGCACACTCCCGCCTATTCCCGGATTGTCTATCACTTTGGGCCCGAGGTTCTGCTGGAAAACGGGGAGATCGACCGGCAGAAGCTCGGCCAAATCATCTTTGCCCACGAAGAGAAGAGGAGGCTACTGAACTCCATCACTCACCCTGAGATCCACAAAGAGATGCTCAAAGAGATCATATTCTGCTTCCTCCGAGGTGAGAAGGAAACCAGTTTATGTCTCATCAATAAATGGAGATAACAGATAACCCAGACTATTTGAATATTTTTAAAAAGTTTTTTTTTTTTGTATGAATTTCACTGTTTAATTGCAGGGTGATGCATTTCAATAGTTCTAATTATTTTAATGACTTCCAACTAAAAAAAAAAACCCACAATTATTTTCTAAGAAAGGTAGACTATTACATTGAAACAAAAAGAGAATCAAAGGAAGGAATACCAGCTTCGTGTGAGGTAAGAATAAAATGTATTTTAAAGAACTGTATGAGAACAGATCATTTCTGAAAAGGGCATAAATGCCCTAAAGGAACATATTCATGCTCCTGATTTTATTTTTTAGCTGGTTTTCATTTCATGATGTAATCTGAGATCATTTGTTTGTTTTTTATTCTTCAAAGTTACATTTGAGCCATTTGAGAAAAGAAAGGACGGAGCTCAACGTGGCCTGAGATCATTCCTTTGTGCCGCATTGAATGGTGTTAGGGTACCATGTTGGGCTGCAACTAACGATCATTTTGCAAATTGATTAATCTGTAGATAATTCTTTGGATTAATAATCAAATTGCTAAAGGTTCCTTAGAGTAGATTTGTTACGAAATTAAACCAGGTGAAAGTAAAACTTTATTTCCACCTTAAGAGTTCTAGTTAGAGAATATTGACACACAAAAAGTTTTTTTTTTATCTTAAATGCAAAATTTTTATGTTTTTTTTTTTTTTTTTTTTTTTTTTTTACAATTTTAATATAATTACTGCTGTAAGTGGGTTGCTCTGTCAGCTAAAGGCATATTTTACAGTCTATTCTCCAGCTAACGATTAATCGATTACTTAATTAGTTGAATATTATTTCTATTATCGATTAATCATGATTAATTGTTTCAACCCTAGTAGCGTGGTGATTAAAGCTGGTGTTTGGCATCATGGGCAGATGAAAATGCTGTCTTTTAACACCTGCTGCTTGGACACCTTGGACCACATTTTTTTCTTCCACATAACGTTCCCAAAAAAATTCTTCTATATAGCTCTCTGTGAACAGGCAGTCTTCCCCATTTGTTATTAGAACATTTAATTTTATTGGTTGCATTATTATTATTATTTCAATAAAAAAATATAAGTGCATTTTAATTATCTTTAAACCCAAAGAAGTCACTAATTATTTCTGATTCCTAGGGTACCGCTACGTGGTTCTGGATGTGCCTCTCCTCTTTGAAACAAGACGTCTCACCAAGTTTTTGAACCACACCGTGGTAGTTTACTGGTGAGAGCTGCCTTCATTTTTCCAATCCTCAGATATTTTATACCACTTGTTTTCTGATTATAAATGTATTAAAAGGAAACAATCTCCTGCTTTTTTAAAACATTTAAATTGATGCGATTAACCACATCTTTAGTTAAGCTGGGTTCAGATTTCTCTTACCTCAACTAGTCGTGTTCTGTTCAGTGTGTCTCCCGTTTCTTAGCCAATGGCTGCTGAAGGAAGGCACCAGTGGCTCCAAAATCAAATTTAACATTTTATTACGGTTCCAGTCATTTCTGTAGATCCTGTTTAGCTACAGTGTAAATTATGGATAAAAGATGGAACAGCAGTAAACCTTTGCTGCAGTAGCCAGAGCTGGTTTAAACATTATATTGTAACAAAATCAAAAACAGAATAAGTCTTTAAGAGGTGAATCAGTAACTCTCATTTCCTTTGTTGTATTCCAGCGACCCTGCAACTCAGCTCCAGCGCCTCATGCAGAGGGACCACCTGACGCAGGAGCAGGCCCAGCAGCGTGTCGCAGCGCAGATGCCGCTCAACGAGAAGCGGGGCTTGGCCAACCACGTCATTGAAAACTCAGGCAGCCGAGAGGACACCCACAGGCAGGTCCTGCAGCTCCACACTAAACTAGAGGACTCCATGGACTTCCTCTTAGTCAGAGTGATCGCCATGGCTGCCACTGCCGGTTTAGGTGGGATACTGCTCTATGCAGTCAAGCTGCTGTTGTCCTAACAAAGCAGAGGAAGTGAAGCTATGATTAGAATCAGGCAAAGACAGGTTGAAAGTAACGATGCGTTTTGCTCTAAAATGTGTTGCACAGCACCTTCCACTAACAGCGCAGCAGTCGGGAGCTTAATGTTGACACAAACCTAGAAAAACCCCACTGGCACATTGAATTTAGTGTGAAGAATGCAGCTTCCTCAGAAACACTAAACGGGGAAAATTATGAAGTAGATCATCTTCATCTTAACATAAAAGTAAGATTTCTCATGAATACAAAACAACCCAAACAGATTTATATCTACTTTTTTAAATATAAATGTTTAATCTTTTTAAATAGAACAAACTGAAGGATTTTATCAGCTGAAAATAAGAAATACCTTTTAATAGCTGCTACCTTTTAATTGAGATTTTAAATTCTCATTTATTTGGCACCAAATCGCTTTAAATGATTTGCTAAATGGTGCCTGCGCTAGTAACAACATATACGTTTCCTAAGAATCAAATTAAAGCGCTAAAAACTGGAGTATACTGAACATATGATGATTGTATAGTGATGGTTTATTTGTCCGAATGTAATCGACAATCTGTGTTTTATTCACTGAGAACAGTAGGAATTAGGATATTTCATATTTATCACTGTATTTTCTTACACTTCATGTGTTCTCTGGTCAAATAAAGTATGGTTTTAATTGTCTTTTTGCACACTAGACTGTTTGTAACCTGATATGTCTAACTTAAATATAACTGACCAAACCACTGTAAAACTGTCTCAGTCAATTTGTTTTTTCTTTGTCAATTAACTCCATATTATAAACGGAGGCCCTGTTTACATGTTTTTGGGTGAAAATAGAAAAGGTTTGTTGTTGTGCTTCTAATGTTCATGTTCAACTAACAGATTTTTAACAGAGACATCTTTTTAAAATGGATTGCATTTTGAAAAAAGATGTTAATCTGCCTTTATTTTTTAAAATACGAAGTGTTTATTTGCATGCACATGTTGAGTTTTAATACATATACAGCCTACTAGTGGTGTGGCGATGAAATTATGACATTTCTTTTACTTTTCTACTAGTTTGGTTTGCACAGAGATGGCAGTTACAGTGTAAATGTGTTAACAGAAACAGGAAAACAATCTTGTTTTCAATAGATCTCTGTTAACAGGCCCCGAACCTTGGAGTTGAAGCTGAAGGAAAAAGTTTATCCCCTTAGCAGCCTTCCACTGGCTGCCTATATATTTATTAAAGGAAGGATTTAGAAAAAAGCAACATACTATTGGAATCTTTTAGAATCAAACCTTTATTTGCAGGTAGATCTGAAATTCCGCTCTATTCCTTTTTTTGTACTTGAATAAAAGCAGGAATGTTAACCTCATCAGAGCTGCATAACCTTCAGGTGACATACGAGTTATGTTATTATTTATTAAATCCGCCTTTCAAAGACAGCTTTCATTTCTAAAGACAAAATTTTTTCAGTAACTCTCTCCAACAGGAGAATGTGTAAGTCAAATTTCTTTAGAAAACACAACTGAATTTATTGAACACATGTCCTTTCTTTTGTCCACATTTGGAGAAGAAGATTCAAGCCCGCAGGCAGGTGCAGTTGCATCATTCTGGCACTGAGGATCCACCAGTCTACGTGGCTCATTTGACTCCATCTGAAGCCATCTTTGGTCTGCGTGCTGTTTGTAATCAAGACGCCGCTGCGTTAATGCAAACTGACTTGGGCTGAGGCATGCGGGGGCAGTCGCCTGGGCTCAGACACATGCGGGGAAGACAAAAATCACATGTATGCATGCATAAGACTGGAAACATAAATCACACACAATTCCACAAATGAGACATTTTAGAACGATAGACAAGTATTTAGCCCGACTTATTTCCATCTTCTTTCTCTCTTGTTTGCCCTTCAAAGTTCATTAAAAATGGATTTAAACACATGCCCCACTGCCATTGAAAAGGGGCTGTTAAGAAAACGAATTTCCCATTTGAGATCCTAACAATATTAAAGGGTGGTGATGCTTCAGTTTTCAGCTGGAGAAGTCAAAAAATAGTTCAACCTCATGAGGTGGTCAGCCCAGACCCCAGTCCTTAATCCAACAGAAATTTTGTGGGATGACATCAGACATGCTTTTTTTTTTACTGAGGCTGAACCAAGAAATGCAGAGCAATGTAGTCCAACATCATTTATCAGTATCTAAAGCTGATTATATTCATGTTTCCCAGATGTGAAACAGTTCTGAGAAAGATTTGTTTTAAAAATAACTGTACAATGAATCAAAGGAAAGCTAACATTTTCTTATAATACTTGGTAAATAGAAATTTTATTAAAAATCCTTCATGTTTTGATTTAGGGTAGAGTTTGCGGGATAAAGCTTTTGAAGCAATTTCAAAAAATGAAAAGCTTCTGCTGTTTTCAACACAATATGATCAAATAAATCCTAATTTATATGCTTTAGAAAGCAGCCAGCTGCTCATCTATCTTCCTTAGACAAAAGACCAGACCAGGTTGTGAAATGCAGACTATATCTGTACCAGCAAATGTGACTGCTTTAGGGAAGATAAGTGGTGAAGTCTCCCTCTGAATATAAAGTAGATTTTAAATCTGAAGGTGCTAAGTTAGGAGGAGGAGAAAACTTTAAAGCTTTTCATTGTGACGCTGTGTAAAAGATCTCCCACTGCGTTAGAGTCTGTAATGGGTCCGTTCTAAGAACAAACCAAATAATTTACTAATGGCAGGGGGTAAATGCTTGCTTAATGTCACCATCATGTTCAGAGAGTTAGCCTATGGCGCCATAGAGAGTCGACATTTTGTAATCTGTAGTCTAAGTGGTTTTTCATCATCTCTCACGCTTACATTACTGCCACGGAGAAAAAGGTAAAACAGCACGCATAAAGCCAAACAAACAATGCAATATAGCTTTGATCGTTATCCAACTGCTACTGTTTTAACCAATTAAAGTCTTTTATAAAAACAATAAGGAGGTGTGATGTGAGTTTGGATCACTTTCAAGAGACTGTTTGCTAAATGATATGCCTGGGCCCTAGAGGCTTTTAGGTGTTTTAATATTCTCATTCGACACACCAGCACGACAGCTTTGCCATTTACTCACTGATTTTACTAGCAATAAAAAAGCGGCTGAAATTAAGAAAATGAGAAAACAAATGCTCAGGGGTTGAAGGACCTTTACTATCAAATACCCAGAGGACTTAGCAAAAACATTAGGACCTGTTGAACATTAAAATTATTTGATCAATTTAATGTGCATTCACCCATATCCTGCCTGTTCCAGGGATCCTCAAGTCTTGCCACATTCTCAAAAGTATTTCCATCTAAATTTAAAATGAGCAACGCTAAACGTTTAATCTTAGTTCTGAATGTTTAGGATCATCTGGCAGGAATGTGATCCTCTTATTATTTACATCTTCTGACAGATTTTCTTCCAGGATTTCCTTCCATATACAGTGGGTATGGAAAGTATTCAGACCTCTAATTTTTTCACTCTTTGTTTCATTGTAGCCATTTGCTAATAAAATAATTTTGTCATTAATGTTCACTCAGCATCCCATCTCGACAGAATAAAACTGAAATGTAGAAACGTTTGCTAATTTATAAAAAAAAAAATAATGAAATATCAAATGGTCAAAAGTGTTCAGACCCTTTGCTGTGACGCTCATATTTCACTCACAGGCTGTCCATTTCCTCTGATCCTCCTTGAGATGGTTCTGCTCCTTCATTGGAGCCCAGCTGTGTTAAATTAAACTGATTGGACATGATTAGCATCATGCATCCCCACAGCATGATGCTACCACCACCGTGTTTCACCATGTTCACGATGATGATGTTTTCCATTCTCCTTACAACTTAGTTCACTGCATGAAAAGTGAGATTTTCGTCCCCGTAAACCCCCGTAAACTCCCGCAGATCTGCCTGATTTTCGTCAGTTTCCGACAATTTGCAACCCGTGCTTGTCCGCATTTGTCGTGCCACAAATTGTCGGAAACGTACCATGACGTATGTGGAGAGCGATCAGCTGTACTAATGGCCCTAATTAGCATATGAATGCAGCAAACCCGCGCGGCTGGCCAGGTCTGGCTTGAATAACCTTCTCAGTATTGGCTGAAACCACTATTCTCAAACAAATGAAATCGCTCGTGATTGGCAGCAAAACCACACGTGGCCACGCCAGGCTTTAATTTTCTTACTGAGTATTGGACGGAACCACTTTTTTTTTTAAACAAGTAAAGTCGCTCGTGATTGGTTGGCATATATATATATTTACATATATATATTTATATATATTTATTCATATATATATTTATTCATATATATATATATATATATATATATATTTATTCATATATATATTTATTCATATATATTTACTCATTCATATATATTTATTCATTCATATGGTGTGTATTTATGTTATCCTACACTACTACACAATTATTATGCTACCATCAAGGACATGAATGAAATATACAAGAAATGAACATTTGCCAGGAAGCTGTTTATGCAAAGAAAGAGCTTTATTAAAACACACACAACTATATACAACGCGTATCCAAACACATGCGTTACAAAAAATTACAAGTCCGTGAATGGTCCGTTTGCTTCCTCGGGGTTGGAGGTAACTGGCAGCATTCCCTCCAAGGCAGGTCCGATGTGCAGGCGCCTACTGTGCGTGGCCCTGTACTTCGGCATCGCTTCTAACCGGGACTGCAGCTTAACACAGAGTTCAGTGAGATCCGGCCTACGAAATGGCGGCGACCGTACAATCCATCCAGAGACACCCCCGACGACGCCATCTTCTTCGTCGGACATGAGGTCGACGGTGGCGGACTTCCAGAGTTCCACTTCCTCATCTGCCAGCACACTCTGCCTCGCTTTCAGCAGCTGAAAAAAAAAAACAATGAATCAGCGCACTGCGTATGGACACAACACCTCTATCAATGCACCTGAAAAATAGTCACCAAATAAAGTCTTACCCTCTTTCTTCTGGCCCCACTCCGAGCAGATTGCCTGGCAGCCTCCGCACGCAGCGTGTTGGCTTGTTGCGTATATCTGAAGCTCCTGCGTACCGTCTCATAATACGTCTTACAGGCAGCTGGAAAACAATTAAATGAGAGTGGTATGAATAAAAAATCAAACGCAAGTCACAGTAACAAGGAAGGAGAAAACATTAAAACAAGTCACTTACACACAATGTCGTCTTTATCAACATCCTGCAAATCTGGACTTGCCGAGATGGCTCCGAGCAAATAGGAGGTCACCGCCTCATTGTGAGGCGCCAGTAGTCTGTGAAAAAAAAAAAGGACAGCTATGGTCGGTATTTATCCGTATCCATTGCCTTTTACCGCAGAATGAAAGCATATTCTTTAAATCTTACCCTTGCTCCGGTTCATAGCGCCTGCAATTAGTCTCCGAGTTGTGGAGACGGCGTACTGCTTCCTGTAAGTCACAAAAAATACACTTTAATAAAGCATGTTCTTGCAAGGGTGCTGTTAGCCGTAGCTAGGCTGCTTTTAGCTTACCTAGCTAGGCTAGGTTGTCTTTAGCTTGCCTAGCTAAGCTAGGCTACTTTTAGCATAGCTACCAGTAATCGAACATATATTTACCGCTAGCGTGGCGTTGTGCACCCGTCTTCTCTTCCTCGAGTTCGTATAGCCCGCAAAGTTGCTGGACTGCAGTGCCGCCATCTTGTCCTCTATGGACTGCAACCTGGAGTGCATAGAATTCTCCAGCTGAGTGAGCCGCTCATTCA